TGACCGGAAACAAGAAGATATCTCCACACCCGACACAGTTCTAGAATCAGCACGACAAGGCGCATCTTTCTATGCAATAATATCGACAAAAAAAAGACTGCTATAGTTTTGCTGTTCCGGCACCTTATTTTCAACACCATAGGCAATGGACTTGGTAAACTTGTATGACTTGATGGTAATAGTTGAAAACTAATGATAATGTTTAATAGTGGTGTTTTCCTGATTGTGCTAAACCAAGTCTTAAGTTTTTTAAACAAATCAGTTTGATAGTATTGCAAAATTGATATTCCATTATCAAGTGGTGTTGAAAAACCTATGAATGAATTTGTGTTAACATCTTACAGATGACACCAGTACAATCTTCTGATACAAAGTCAAATTGTACATCATTTGAATTTAAATATTGTTTTAATCTATCAAATTGAAATTCACCTTCATTTATATTGTGATTTGAATTCAATACTAATCTGTTTAATGTCACCATGTGAGGAAGTGCACCAGCTAAATTTATTCTTATTAATTCATAGGTTAATTTACCACCTAATATATATAATAATTGTGTAAATGTTTAACAGACTCATTATATTGATAATTTCTTTTTGATCTTGAAAGATTATTTATTATATGGGCAATAAATGATGATAAAAATGATTGTTTACTATTCACTGTTATTATTTAGATTCGTATTTTCGGTGTCTTCATATCAATTAATTAATGATCTTAACAAAAGGTTGTTATTTAGTAATTCGTAAGAGATTTGTCGATGACTATTATTATTATTATTATTTATCAATTCTTGCTGGTTTTCTTTTTCGATAATCGTGTGAAATTTGTTAAAATATTTTTTATTCCAACTTTGACCACATATTCACCATTTATTTTAAGCATGACTTCGTTTTTATTTCAAATAAATCAGGTGAATCACATTTACATATTTCAAATATATCTTTTGTATCTAAAAATGATTGTGTTGAATCAATCAATTGGATTTTAAGAATATCATGTAATACTTCTCGTACTACAGATTGTATAAATTTATAAAACTCATCACCTTTTAATGTTGAAACATTATCCGGTAAGGTGGATAAGTTGTATATATTGTTGCTATTCATTTGAAAAGCTTTTAACTTGAATAATATATAAATTTAAAATTACTAAAAATAAGTACTGATGATACAGCAGTAGAAAAAAATAAAGAAATAGGAGTATGTAATTATCATGAAAATTATTTTCAATGTTAAACTGATTGATTCAAAGATAACCATTTTATTATATAATACTTGACTACGAAAGAATAATAAAAAAAAATAAATACATTTTTGACAGTCGATCAGAAGACTTACAGACGCAAATCAAGCTAGGGTAAATATATAACGAAAGATATAGAATCGTTGGTGTTGTTATGTCAGGAGATATCTCTCCTGGCATAAAGAATACTTTCACTTAGCTTCATACCGTCACGTCAATGATGATTATTTTTCTTTCATTTTTTGAAAAACTATTATCAACGATATACAATCTAAAAAGGTATTTATCCAAACTGTTTTAAGTTCGGCAGGGCTGCGAAACATCGTAGTTCAATACGAGCTTTTTCTTCAGAGTAGTGTGTGAGTTCATTTTTTGTAGTTTTTTTTAGTTTTCTTTTCGTCACAATATATTTCTAAGTAGGCGACGTCTAGATCACATCTCAGAGAGAGAGAGCGACTTTGTCGTTGCTATATTTTCTCCTTCTTTCTACAAAGAAAGCAAGTGTGACAGCGTGTTTCTTCATTCATTCGAAGACATTCATGCGACAACAACTCCTCCTGTGTTGGGCGAGCACTCTTGCTCTGGTGGTGCTTCCATCAGAATCTGCACTGAGCTCTGGTTGTGGAAAATTTCTCCCAAGTGGCTTTTCTGCAGGTCAAACAACATTATCCGTTCCCGCGGCAAATGGTCAAACCATTCGTCACTACAAGGTGCACCTATCAGCCAACTTTCAAAACAATCGAGGACACGCTATTGTCTTCTCCTTTCATGGCCACAAGGAGGATATGGACAAACAAGAGGATCTATCTCAATTATCTCAAAAAGGTCTACTTATCGACGGTGCGGAAATCATCGCCGTCTATCCCATGGGAAAGCTGGGAACGGATGGACAGAGTACTTGGCTGGGTGCACCATATTCTGCTCCTGGTGTGGATGATGTGAGTTCATTACGATCTTCTTCCGCCTAGATTCAGAATGAGTTATTAATATAGATCTCCTTTGTGGACACAATGATCTCCTCGCTCCAAAGTACATTTTGCGTTGATTCATCTCGAATCTATGCAACCGGCAAGAGTAATGGTATGTTGCAATTTTTACTATTTATCTAAAGATCAGCTCCTTTTCCAAGTGTAATTGATATACATTATAACTATCTAAAAAGATGAAGTTTAACTATCTATAAAGATGAAGTTTATTTTGGTTGTGTAAGTCAGTGACCAAGTTGGATGTAGCTGTCTTCTATAAGAAGTGCGAGCAATTTCAATCGGATGAGCTTTGGTCGTCTCCTATTTTTTTCAACGAATGCTCACGGGACTCTGCTGCAGGTTTAAAAAGATTCTTTATAGTGGCTTTCAGTATTTGTCTTGTGGTCGGATGCATAAAATATTTTTTCCTTCTGCCATCAACAGGTCGTCTGTAAGTTATTTCTTCTTTGCACAAACGAAATGCTGTCCTCTAAACTGGCACTCTTCCTCTCAAGAGACAGTATCACCAAAATTAGAGGAAGTATACTCGAAGAGCTTTCATTTGTCGACCGGCTTCTGATCCTTATTTATTGAAAAGAAAAAAGAACTCTACTGTATGTGCTAAAATCATGTTTTTTGGAACTGTCTAGGTGCCGGATTCGTCAATCTTCTAGCCTGTACGCCACGGATAGCAGCAAAGTTTGCCGCCTTTGCAACTGTTTCAGCGGCTTTCTACACGACTACATTCAACGGAGATTGTCCCACTCAACGTGCCATACCCATGCTCGACTTTCACGGTACTGCAGACCGTATCGCCTTAT